TAACCCTAAACCTAACCCTAAACCTAACCCTAACCCTTACCTTTATGTGAATCGGCTTGCTTTTCTTTCTTGTCGCACTGCTGATGACGTCACGTACGGGCTTTAATCGGGCGCGCTTTAGTGGGCCGCGGTTTTGAAGTGGCTACCGGAGGCCCAGACGTCTCACTTTCTGTGCAGGTTTATAAAGGTTCTTTTTAGTGGAAGGAATTTTTTCTCCTTCTCTTGCTTTGTGATAAATGGAAAGTAGTTTGCTCATGTCATCACAAGCACCACGAGGCCCTCTCAAAGCAATGCTATGAACAAAAATTCACCTAAGCTTAAAAAAAAAGACAAAATTGAGGATCCTGGGAAGCAAACTATCCCCCCCCTCCTCCCTATCCTGTCTCCCCAGGGAGAATCTTCTGCGGGGGGCAGGCGGGGGCTGTATTGCACGAAGGAGAAACAGCCTATAAGGTTTTGCCCCTTTGGGTAACACCTGGAGAAGAAAAGTCTTCTCTCACTCAGTACAAAGCAGGAGGCTGCCAGTTGCCGGGGGAGGACCTGGGCTTCTCCCCATCGGCCTGGCAGATGCCATCGAGGTGCTGATTTCACCAGAAGCCCCCTCCCACTTGCCCCCTCCTTCCCTCAACCCTGCCCCACAGGGCCAGAAGCGCCTGGTGCTGTCGGAGAGCTGCTCCAGGGACTCCGTAAGCAGCCAGCCCAGCGGCTCAGTCCTCAACTCCTCCTACGGGGTGAACGCCTGGAAGAGCTGGGTGCAGGCCAAGTACGTAGGGGCCGAAACCAGCAAGGGCGACGAGCTGCGCTTTGGCCGTAAGTCCGGGACGTGTTGATAGGGAGGGAGGAGCAGGGTGAGCCGCCCACCCCAGGGGGTCCCACCCTCTCCCACTCCTAAGCTTCCCCTGTTGCCGCCCGCAGCCAAGCCCATGCGGATCAAGGAGGACATCCTAGCCTGCACGGCGGCCGAGCTAAACTACGGCCTGGCCCAGTTCGTCAAGGAAATCACCCGGCCCAACGGGGAGCGCTACGAGCCAGACAGCATCTATTACCTGTGCCTGGGGATCCAGCAGGTGAGGCCCCATGTCAGCCAAGCCCTTGGCGGGGGCAGGACACAAGGTGGGGTGGGGGGGGAAGACCTCCATAGATGCTCTCCATGGATAAGGCTTTCATATATATATGTATGTATGTATGTATGTATGTATGTATGTATGTATGTATGTATGTATGTATGTATG